GCAGTAAGAGATATAAAATATCCTGAAACAAGAACTTTGAGGTGGACCGCAGGAAGGCGGAGAGGAGAATATGAGAAGGTCAAGAACCTTAACAAGGCAACATGCTTCTTCTCTGTCTGTACAACACAGATTAAAGTGGTGTGGACTGGGTTTCCTAAGGGACCTTTGGACTAAGGTCACCTTACCCCCTCTGACTTATAACAAAACTAAACTGACCTTAAATAAAAAAACAAAAAAACAAAAAACAAGTGGATAGTTTATTTAGATGACGTCTGTTGCACCGCAGTTTCATAGACACATTTCGGGCGTCACTTAAACATCCACCTACGAATGGCAACTTTCATTTGTTTTAGAATAATTTTATTATGCAGTTTTTATGATTGTGTGTGTGTGCAGAAATAAAAAAATAGAAATAGTTACAGTCTTTTAAAATCATTTTTAGGACATTTTATACCTTTATAGTGCCAGTTGATGGATGAAAGGACATGAGGGAGAGAGGGATGCAACAAAGGTCCACTGCCAGACTGAAACAAGGGCTGTTACAGTTCATGATCATAAGTGTTTCTCCTACATGCTTCACAGCCCCTTCTCATTCCCAAGTCGTCAAAAACAGAGGCGAGCCTGTGTTCTGGTAGTAATCTGCAACTTCACTGCTAGATGCCTATAAATCCTACACACTGGTCCTTTAACTCCCTAAACTACAAGGGTGTCCAAAAATGTGTTAAATGGGACATCATGTGTTAACAATGTCTAAAATACAAAGGCAATGCCATTGAGTAGTAGAAAATTAGGATGACGTGCTACATTGTGGCTACAGTGTGTTGCTGCCCTCATACATTCATTGACCAAGAATCTTGCGTTGCCCGACCTGTCTCAACAAGCCTTTGGAAGTTGGCTAATGGCTAATATATTCATCATAAATTTCTCTGAGAGTGCTCTAAAATATGTACAACACCCTCAATCCTTAAACACTCAATAGATGAGGAAAAACCTCCTCACAAAAAAACTCCTCCAGGGTGTGAAGAGCAGTAGGTACAAAGAAACACTATAGCCTGCATAACTTTAATCAAACAAAGTAAATGATCAAGAAATAATCTGATGGGAATTTAAGCTTCTATAAAAAAAATGCTTTAAACAGTACAGAAATGTATAATATAATAATATTATCTTCCACTGTAACTGCACTGAAAATGTTCAGAGGTAGCAGTTACAGTAACCATTAACCGGCATTTGAAAGTTACTACCACAGGCATGTCAGATATGTAAAGTTCAACAAGGACCTAATGAAATTCATGGTCTTTGCCACATCATCACTGGGAGATGTATGGCAGACAAAACCAAATCTTTTTTTAAATCTTTCACTTTTGAGTGTTTAACATAATACAGTCACCCAAATAAAGAGCAATTTTGTTAGCCCATCAAGAGGATGTTTGGATCCTCTTGTTCTGTCTCTTTCTCTCTCTGAAGATTACCTACAAATATACTTGATTTGCATGTTGTGTCTTTCACCTTGTGTCAGGTCACCATCAACTCAACAGTTCCCCTTTTCCATTAGTTTGTTAATGAGATCTGTTATGGAAATTAGTGGGACTTGGATGGGTACAGTACTGGTCAACACACACACACAAAGGCAATGAGCACATGCACACACAATCTCGGCTACCACGCAACCAGACAATACTGTACACATATATACACAGACGTTACCATGGATGTGAACAATGATAGGCTTTGGTAGTGGGAGATCTGCTATCTGGATGTAGTATGCAAACAAGTTGGCAACAGCACTACAAAGAACTAATCTCAACATCTTTGCTGTTGAATTTGAATTGTTTATCACACATTTACACTTACCTTTGGAGTGACTTTACTTTGACCTGTTTTCTGCATGATAGATAGCCTTTGTTATCCCTGATTCCACAGTGTGTGTCTAGTTCATGCCATCTGCAGTATATATAGTACACACAGTAACAGACACATAGATACATAGTACATGCAAGCCCAAATTCACACCCAATCAGTATGTTTCAGATCTGCTATGGCAGAGGGAAATTCACTTGATATTAAAAATAAATAAAAATGTTCTATTATTGTTGACAGGCCAAATTCAGCCAACAATTTATGTGCATATGTCGAGTCAGCAAGTAGCTATTTCTTTAGATAAATGTGTGTATGTGTGTGGAATTGTCATAACATAGTATCTGGTTCACCTCCTAACACCCACGTTTTCCCTGCTCGTACGCTACAGACTTCCACCAACTAACACGTCAGGAAGGCTGGTCGTGAGTGTGTCTTAATGCGTGTGTGTGTGTGTTTCAGTGGGTAGACGTCCAGCTTCCGTTCAATGATTGTTGTGGCGTATCTCGACCTCGACGCTGAAAGATGTGTGTGTATTTTTCTGTGTTGTTGTATTTGTGCCTGTGTGTGTGTGTTCAGTCATTCTGTGGCCAGCTGTGACCTCACCACCAAGACTTCTCTCATATGATTTAGAGACTCGTAGGTGGGTGTGTGTATTTTCTCTGATGACGTGGAGACCCTATTCTTCTACGTCAGTGGGCTGTGTTTTGTCATGTCTCTGCATGGGGCTGGACGGCAAACAGCTCCAAAAGGACAAGTGGAAAAGCAGATCTGTTTTACGGCCTTTGACATCAGAGGTCTGTATCATCATCATACACAAAGATCACAGTGTGGGAGTGCCCTTTTGGGTTCACTACGTGAGTTATCCGGTACCCATTGTGCATTCTGACCTCTATGTGGGAGTACTTTGCTGATGCTGGGGTAGAATAGTATTGTTTTACTGTACAGTCATCTTTTAAATATTTTTGTAACACTTTATTAAAGATATTAAACAAACGTCTGGCGAGAAAGAAAACCAACATTTGAACAAGTTTCAAACCAGAAATGTCACTGGTATATCTCACTGGATTAGCCCACTGATATACTTCTATTGTGTGTGTGTGCCTGTGTGTGCTTTCTTTCAGAAAATGGAAAATGATATTTTGATTGAATTGTTTATACCAAGAGTGCACATACTTTTGTTGGTTTGGAAAACTAATATCTGAGAAATTGACTTCACTGGAAAGAATGAAAATGTCTGTCTTTCAGTCAAGGCAATCCAATACATGCATCCAGTGTGAAAGTTTATTTTTGATCTTGGGATAAAAATATTAAGTGGAATACATTGTATGGGATAACAGGCTACTGGTCGTGTTTACCGTTGCTTAGCAACATGTAAGAGTTTCAAGACATAAGGAGGCGGAGGCAAGCTGCAACATTATTTCTTCATTTATTGCTGCAATGATTTCCTCAATTCATCAACATTATAGCACAACTGTTGCATAAAAGCATTGTCAGACCTGGAGTTGTCTGGACTGTCATGGTCTACTCACTGAACAAATGCAGCATTGAACATACAACTACATCACCTCAGATTTTCTAATAGCAGGTAACCACACAACCATCAAAACTATTATTGCATTCACAATCCCTCAGCCAGCATTAATGCTACAGCTCTTTTCTGATTGCCGTTGTCTGTTCCTCTTTCTTAAAGCAAGGCTCTTAAAAAAACCTATCCCGAGGACTTTGTTTTTTAATTAGCTAGCTTGTCGTGATATGTCACTGACCGCCAGTTGAATAGTGTGAAGGCAGCACCAACACTGCCCAGCCTACGCTCATGTGAATAGTCATTGAGTGATGGGAAGTCTCTTTGTCCATTACTCTGTTTTTTCTAATTAATTTCAACTGTATCAGAAATACAAAAAAATGTTGTATGATATGTTGTATGATTATGCTGGGTGTGCCAGCTTTAGATTTACATGGAACAAGCACATCCAGACACACCCAGGTGGTTGCATCACACTGTTTGAAATTGTAAAGCTACTAAGTGAACCTTGAGTGAAATTCTTTTCAAAACTCTTTATTATTTTGTAGCTTCTCTCTGAGAAAGTTCCTAAAAGGGTAAAGACAAATAAATTATACAGTAGTTTTTTTTTTAATGAAATTATGAAACCATCACCACCATGGAGTCTGTGGACCAAGCACCTGAAAATACACTTTATGTTATACACTGTGTTTTCTTCAGTCCTACAACTAAATAAAAAGGATGCGTGTTCCTCAAAGCTCTCTCAGACAGACAGGGCTTGTGATGGATGGAAGTTTTAAGTATTTCGGTCTTTGATTCTTAGATCTTATGGCTCAGGTTCCTAAAACAGTTCTTTCCAGCACATGTACAGTGTGGTCAACATTTCCAAGTTAGCGATGTTCAAATAAGCATAACCAGTCTTACTAAAGAATTTTGGCTCTTCCAAATAAACAGCTGTCAATCATTGTATTTACATGCTGTCAAACCAGGACTCTAAACATTTATCCTGGAAAATGTTTCTTTATTCACACTGATTAAAGCTACTTGCTTTGACACATTGGGTGTGTTAGACTGGATGTTAGTTACACATAAAAACCACTTCTTCGCAATGTAGAATTTGCATTATAGGCATATGGAAATACTTATTACTGTATTATTTTACCACACATTGTCAGTAATCTGTAAAATGCCAAGCAGAGAAGTTATTAAACTCGCATCCCCACCAAAGAAAGACATTTCTAGTTTATGGGTCATATTTTGCTACTGTGCCATGTTTTGATAGCCTATCCCTCTAAAATGTACAATATAGGATTCTTTTAGGGAATATTTGTACATCTTAAAAAGTCGACCCTATCTTATTGAATTTATGAATGAATCCACATCTGATGTTCATTGGATGCTGCTTTTTTTGTTTCCTTTGTTGTCGCCTACACAATTCACTACTTTGCGCAACTCGTAAGGATGCAACCATTTATTTTTAGGACTAGGGGAGAGAAACACACAACGACAGACAGAGAGAGGGCTGTGCACTGGATAACGAGGTGGGTGGGCACAAGCTCTCTCGCTCTCTTTTTCTCTCTTTCTCTCTC